GGAGGCTTGTGCTGATGGGGAGGCGGCGTCAACCCCGGGGGGGTGGGGTGCTGATGGTGACGATCGGCCGTCAGTACGGGTGGGTGAGGGGGGCGTCGTTGCTGTTTTGCCTAGGGCAGCAGCATTTGTAAATACACCGCTGGGTTTATCCCACTTTAAGTGAATTTTCCTTTTGAATTATTATTGAAAAGTTTGCCTTGAAGTAATTGTTGCAGAGACACACTTATCTTAAAAGAATTATGTAGAATAGAACAAATTGTCTAGCCTATGCGATCGATGTTCCCCCTGAGAACAGTTGGGTGGCGCGCATCTGCCTGCTCTGATTTTTTTCTGTCCAACTTTAAAATAAATCTGTAGCTCTCTGTGTAACTGCACCTCAGATCCAGAGGTATAGGGAGATAAAAATTTTAAGGACGCAACCTAAAATAAAAGGATCATAGAAGAGTATGGAGAAGGCAGGAGAAGTGAACAATCTAGGCCAAAGTAGCTGATTTGGAAATATTCTCCAATTCAGCTATGTTGTCCTAGATTGTTCACTTCTCCTGCCTTCTCCATACTCTTCACCCTTCTGTGAATAGCCCACCCTCAGCACAATTAAAAGCTTTAAATTAACCTACTCCTAACGTATTTGTGCATGATTCAGCTTGGCCCAGCAAAGGAAACTTACCCAACTAACCTGGCTTGTGTCACTCAAATATTGTCTGTATGCCTATATTAATTTAAACATTTACGTCGTTAATAGAGAGGAAACTATAACAACAGTGGTGAAAAGTCCAAGGATGAGAAGAAGGGTGACACCTGGAATGTCTCCATCACGCCGAGTCTCTGGTCAGTCTCCAGTAAGAGCCCCTAGGTCAGAGGCCTCTACCCCAGAGCCCTTCTCTTTTCAAAGAGGCAAGACATCCGTCTACAGATCCGAGGCAGAAACCCGAAAGACAGTGGTGCCCACTCTCTTCATAACAGAGCCAGAAGATGACCGAGGGGCAACCGCCAGATTAGAAGAGCAAACATCCAGCAGATGGGTCGAGGTTGAAGAAACTATTGAATTCCAAGTGAAAAAATCTCCCAAACCACCCCGAAAAAGAGGAACTTCACCAGCAAAGCCTGAGAAGGATGAAAGGGGGTCAAAGAAATATACTCAGTATAGCTCGCGATCAAGGGGTTTCCCTGGCAATGACCCAAATACAAACAACTCTAACAATAAGCTGGTGGAGGAAGCCAAGGCATCCTACAGCTTTTCCGAGGTTGATATGGAGTATGACCTTTCTGAAGAAGCAGAGGACGAGGTTGAAGAACAGCTAAGTTCACATTATGCAGCAGAGGAGGAAGATGTTGAAATTTTAGACAGCACAGTCTCACATGAGTCAGAACTTCCTACATTTGAAAGAGAATGTGTGGAATTTAAAATCTTTGAGAAGGATGAAACAAAAGCCTCACCTGTGAATCTTGGTACTGTAAAAGACATAGAACAGGCAGCTGTTGAAGAAGAAGCACATGATTCAGACCAAACAATATCATTGGACGTTGAAGATGTCATCGTGGAAGAGCCTGAAGAGCAAGATAACGAAGAGCTAAAAAGCAGAGATCAAAAAATTCTGACTCGTGACGGTAAAGTTCTAACATTAGAAGATCTTGAGGATTACGTTCCGGGTCAAGGAGAGACTTACGGATGTGATGAAAATGTTTCAAACATCACCGAGGACACGCCATGCGAGATCTCAGTCTTGCAGACTGAAATCAACGAGCCAACTGTTGGCAAGCCCGTGTTGCTGAACGTAGGTAGGCCTGTTGTAGCGAAACAAAGGCAAAGTTTCTTCAGCAACATGAAAGAAGGAATTGGAAGCATGTTCATGACTGGCTCAAGAATGGGTAGGATGAATGTGATGGGATCCTCAAATGTTTCTTACCGTATGAACCAAACCAGCAGTACTGGGGCAAGTGCCAGTTCTTCACCAACTGGTCTGTCAACATTCAACATCAAGCCTTCTTTCTGTACCGAGGTTCAACGCTCTGCAGACAATGGCCAACCGAGCTTCAAGACAGAAGTTTCGACAAGAACCCTGAGTTACGGAACACTTGGAGAAACTGTAATGCTACACATAAGCAAAAAAGATTCTTCTCAAAGCTAAACCATTGATGATATGAGGGGGAGATTAAAAAAAAAAAAAAAAAGAGAGAGAGAGAGAAGTTCAGACCAGTAATGAAATGAAGAATAAAATCAGGGCGGATGAACTTTTCCAGTCTTAATGGGAACACTTAAAACTTAGATTTTAAATAAATCAGATAAACCTGAAGTGCCATTCCATGCAGAAATGATGGTGGTCTATCAATAAGAACTTAGACAACACGACAACTCCATTGGTTTGACTCTCCTCCTTGTATAGACTTTTACGGTAACTTTGTGATCTTTGTACGTAAGGAGAATCACGATCTTTTTTCTTACGACGGTCTAACATGTTTTATTCAAGTATTCTGTCTAAAATGAATATTATGTTTACATTGGTACATCAAACCCGTTGACGATGGCAGATGACAAAAGTGCTTTGGATGCTGCCAAGAACGTAGCTTGATATGAATTAAAATGTAAGGGGGAAAAAAACCTGTTATCTTGGACTGTTGCCATAAAAACACATGGATTGCTTTTGGAGTAATTAGATTGCTCCGCAATAACTGAAATATGTCGGAATACATAACACTTGAGTGTCATTGATGGATCTTATAGGATGTCCTTGCCGAAGTAGGACACGATCTCATTAGATAAAAAAAAGATCTCAAGTGAATTTATAATCTTGACATTGAGGAAGTGTGGTGGTATTTTGTCACGTCGAAGGCCATTTGTAACTAGGTCATACCGTTTGCCCTCTGCATGTTCCCAGACTGTAATGCAAAGCTATTGATGGAAGAGCGACCGTCTCTAACTTGCTCAATGGAATAAAGCATTGAGAGCGCAGCCTGGGAACATAGAGTTCAAATTCCTCCTCCCAGGAGAAATATGACTTTGTTAAGATGAGCTAAGTGATACTGTTAGGTTTGTTTAATGTAGATTGAATTATTCTTGCTGCTGAATCTCTAAGCGTGAATTGAAACTTGTGATCTAGCTGTTATTTATTAACTTCTTAAGCCCTGCCGTGGAAGGTGTTCAATTAAACATTGACCTCTTTGGATGATTGATATGACAAAAATGTCCAAATAATAAAAAAAAAATAATGGTGGAGAACCAAATCGCATCTATTTTGCTTGTGTGGATTTTTTTTTTCTTGTAAGATCAACTGATGAGCTTAAAGGGTAATTCCACTTTTGTTGAGAAAAAAAAAAAGTCAATCCTCTCCGGGTCATCTGTGTACACAAACATTGTTGTAATTTCCTACCTGTTTCTCTTCAGAAGAAATAGCTGTTTGTTGCACCATGCCCTTTCCAAACTGATCCCTGTATGGCACGGTTTGAGTTACTTATGGACTTTCTGTGTTGTAATGAGGAAAGATGCAGTGTCGGCATCCCTTTAGTAGTAATTAAACCTTAGGGGGTGTCTTACCAAAAATGAAATATTAATTCCAAAGAATGCCAAAAATTATACTTGTAACTTAGTGCAGACATCTGGGGAAATCACAGATGCAGGAATTGACATTTTTGGGGGGTTTTTCCGCACACAGTTGGTTACCATTGTGCATTTTAATATTTTTGACAGATTTAGAACATCACAGCAGCTACAGTTTTAAATAGAAAGGTCATTTTTAATACATTAAATTACAAAATGGTTTGTGTAGCAATTATATACTGTGTAAATATACAGTATATTAGGGATGCGCCGATACTAGTGTTGGTATCGGTGGCGATACCGAGTATTTGGGTGAGTACTCGCCCAAATGCTCTGATACTTACCTCCGATACCAGAACTTCTGGTCAGAGGGAGATCTCCTTCTGACCAGCAGTGCCGAGGGAGCATGGAGCTGGCTTCCTTTCCAATTAGGAAGCCGGGCGGTGGGTTATGACCCGCCTCCTGGCTTCCTGATTGGCTAGGAAGCCAGCTTCATGTGTTGCTAAGCAGCCTGACTTCCTAAACAATCAGGAAGCTGGGCGGCACATGAAGACCAACCTCCTGGCTTCCTGATTGGTCAGAAACAAGCGAAGTCGGCTTCCTAGCCAATCAGGAAGCCGGGAGGCAGGTCATAACTCGCATCCCGGTTTCCTGATTTGGCAGGAAGCACACTCTGCCTAGAAACAAGTGAAGCCGGCTTTCTAGCCAATCAAGAAGTCTGTAGGCGGGTCATGACGTGCTGCCTGGCTTCCTGATTGGTCAGGAAGCCAGGCAGCCTCTGAAGTCGGTGTTCTTTCGCTGGAACACCGGCTTCACAGGCAATCAGGAAGTCGGACGACTATCAGCAAGTACCTTAAGAAAAATATCGGTACCGTACTTGATACCGAAAAACTGGTATCGGTGCATCCCTAATATATATATATATGCTATATTCACATTTTTAAGATTGTTTTCATTTACATGCTTTTAAAGTGGAGTTTAAAGGGCCATTGTCACAAAAAATATAGGATTCTGATCAAATTATTCAATAAAGCAACTCTGTTGCTAGTTAAGAGTTTAAAACTCTTAACTAGTTCCTTCTGCCATCCCTTATGTCACTAATGGACACAGTAGTGCTGTAGTGGTTTGTGAAAAGTCCCCTCCCATAACAGGCCATGAGGGAGCGGGCATTTAACCGACCCGGAAGTGTATTTGTCTCCACATAACCTCATCATAACAGAAGCCACCAACTGTCCCTTCCGTTCAATTCAAGTCTATGTCTGTCATGTCTGAGCACATTTCCCTAATTTTTATTCCTTTAAAAACACTACAAGTACAGAAAGAAATACATGTCGATGTGCCAGAAATCCAGCGAGCTTCTAACTTTTTCTTTGGGCTGACAACACGGTGCTCATTCTTCACCAAAAATCCCAAGCAGCATTGCCCACTGGACTACAAAACTCATCCTATACCCCGTTCCTCTCTGTCTTCTTCTGAGGTCATACACTGATTTATTTCCAGGAAAAAATGCTGCCTTGACTCTCAAGAGTCTGCCCACACACCTTGTGTAGGGCGAAGGCTCTTGGGAGATGTCGTTTTGGGGATGGGCCTACATCAGTAGGAACTGACCTCCCAGCAGCAACACTTGCATGAAATGTACAAGCCCGGTGATGATGTGACAGAAAATAATAAAAACAGTTTTTTGCTACAATAACAAGGTAACAGAAGAAAATAACATACATGGGGACATATTCTAGAGGTGGAGAGGGAGGTTTGGGCATAAACTTGGGTCATGCTTGGAAAAGCATTTAAGATCTTATTGGCCTATTTTTGGTCCCCGAATAATAAGACCCGTCAACTGTGCAGGAATCCCATACAGCCTTGGAAAGGAAAGTGGGAACCCTATGCACTACCTTCCCATTGCTGGTCAGTGGAGACTCCCAATTGATCCATTTGGACCAATCCCCCACTGGGTTACCAGCACTGCTGAGCATCCTTGAAGCTTCCAAACTTTGGAGCCGTTTACATTGCATTGAGGTGCATTAGGACTCATGCACGTGGGCTTATGGAAATACTAAAAGGGTTACTCACATAAGGGTGAAGAGTTTGGAGAAGGGAACAATCTCTGACAACATAGCCGATTTGGAAAAATTCTCCAATTCAGCTCACAGTCCAGTTCAGCTATGTTGTCCTAGATTGTTCCCTTCTCCTGCCTTATCCAAACTCCTCCCCCTTTTGTGAATAGCCCTGTAAATGTGAAATGAAGGGTCTTCCTGGCAGAGACTGACAGATCCTGTGTAAGATGTCTGTATGCTGTATTCATGTAACGTTTGCGTGAATTTTACATGTGTACAAGCATAGAGCGTCAATGCAGCCTATTGACCGACATGTTAATATCAACATACAGTATATGGCACCTGCACCACTGATTATACACTATAGATGTTTACATGTTGGCCCTCAATGAGTCAATCATCGGTGAAGGCGCATGCTCAGAATGATTGGTCTTCAGTAATTCATGAACGACTGCCCAAGGTCATTCTGCAGTTGTGCGACCACCAATGAAGGACTCATTCAGGGTCAACATGTGTCATGTGTCCCTAAAGGTTCTCATTCATCCAGGTCATGGTATATCTGTAATAAATAAATCAAAGCAGCTAGACTTGCTGTATTTTTCTTGAAGATGTGTCGCTGGTCATCCGACTTGCTTTCTCAATTCAGAATTCAAGGGGATATTTAACAGTCCGAAAGGGAACAAATAAGAGAAGTTCATTGTAAGAGTCTACATACATTCCAAGCTGTACCATCCTGGTTATCGCTTCTGAACGTACTCTGCTGAGCCTCAGAAGATTGATGCAACAAGTGTCCAGTTGGTGCCATTACCTTTCTTGTTGTTGTAGCCTTCCAAGCCCATTCTCTTGTCTATGGTAATGCATATTTTTGGGCCTTGATAACCTTGGCTGTATCCATATACTGTGCCTCAATGAATGCAACCCAGATAGTCAGTATGCTCTAGGACTGAGCCTTATGTATGGAGAAAAGTAAAGCAAATGGGCTTTCAAGTTCACCAGTGCCTTAGGCCCCGTTCACACTGAGCGATTTATCGTGCGATTTTTGCAGCGATACCGCTCATATTTCCACGCGATATCAATATCGCTTGAAGCTTGTCGCTCCTACATGACCCTTTTTTCGAACGATTTCGAGCGATATTGCTCCTGATTGCATACAGCCCAATAGGAAAAAGTTGCGCGATGTCGCGCGACAAGTCGCTTAATATCGCTCGTCGCGCAATATCGCTCAAAATCGCGCGATTTTCATGTCGCTCAGTGTGAATGGGGCCTAAAGCTGTATGCCTGGCCATGGGCAGAGTAGGCAAGGGGTCTGCATTTGAGCTCTGATTTCTATGATTGATCTAAGGGCACATATACATTAAAGTCTGTCTATACCAACCTAAAGATGGTTTAGGACTAGGATAAGCCTCTTTTAGGTGTTAGCACCCAGTCAATTAAAGGGGGACTTACATGGCAAGTGAACACAGATGATCCTATTATGCCCAGCTTTAGGTCTCTGCACTATTGTCTCACCACCTTCGAGTACCGGCTCCATACAGATCTGTCCTCACCAACCAAAATACTCCACCTGAGA